TAACTCTTAACCAGTGAACCAAGTGTAGGGTTTACAAAAACTCCAGACAGCTCATTTTTAGAGTGAAGGTAAATAAAAATATTGGATGGCTGCAATTTAGAATATAAATAATTGTAATCCAGCATAGCAGGTTCTGCTATCTCCCAAAGAGATAGCACTCCCTTGAAATCTCCACTCCCTTGAAATCAAGCTGACCAATATCGTAAAAATCAACATGCATTTAGGAACATTGCATTTAAAATCTATGGAAGAGCTAAATTAAACTTAGTCCTCAAATTGGGTAGGAAGAAACGTACATTGAACACAAATATATGGACTGGATTCATGTCTTGCCACCCAATTCTTTGCCTTTGACATCCACAGAGCAGCAAGATAATAGTTTTAAGTATTGAATTTGCCAGCGCAAATCAGTAACATTTTAATTTGTTCTATTTAATACAAACTTTGCAAAATTCTGAAAGCTCTGCTAACAGAGAAGGAAATAATCTGAGATTAAAAAAGGAAGAATGAAAGAGGAAGAATGAAACAGGGAGGTGCCTCCATTTCTATCAAAACTTTATTATGTTGTTTATAGCAACACCTTGCTGCTGACATAATATTATTTGTGTTTATCACACAGGTCTCAAGTTGAAAGGTTTTTAGACAAAGAGTTTGCACTTGGTGTCTTACTTTTTTGTTTTCTTTTTTCTTTTTCTTTTTGCAATTTATGACTAGGAGCCAAAGTGTTCTTTTTAGTCCAGTTTGGTCCAGTTTTAAGCCACATGTCTAGAAAACCCATGTCACCCCAGTATTTCATTTGCTGCTCTGTTATGCTGGAAGCAGCTTCAGACTTCTCTGCAACACCCAGAAACAAGAAAAAAAAGACTGGATAAAGGAGGTGAGATCTTGGCGTGGATATAATTATCACAGTCCTGGGGTGAACTGTAATTTCTCTGCATTTTAGGGCCTACTTCATTTTTCTAAAGAAATTTACTTTAAAATATGATGGATATTTTTCTCCCATGAACAAGATATGATCTCCCTCTCTCTTCTGCAAACATTAAATAATACAGGCTTTGATCAAATAGCTGAATATATATTTCAAAACCAGCAATTAACACTTAATGGGGCTGGATGTTTAGGCTCTCTAATTGCTAGTGTGCAGATCTAATTATAACTTTAAAATAAAAAAGCCAACAAGTGCCTAGGAGCAATTGATGAATGATATAGACGTGATTTTAATTAGCATGATGATCCATTAGTAATGATTGACAAGTGTATCAGTCTGATCATATTTATATTATATGGATTTCTAAGCTTCACCATAATTCACTTGTTCTGGAAGCATCTGTGGGTATTTGCAGTAGGGTAGTTGAGATATTTTCTACTTTAGAATGGTTTCATGAGCGGATAGCAGTGGTTCAGTGTTTGAGCACCTTCTTTGCTTTATGCATACAATATTTGTATATTAAATTAAATTTCAAGTTTAGGTAACACAGAAATGTAGACAAAAACAAGAGCTGGTTTTCCATCTGTGGTATATGATAGGTTCCTGCAACCCAGGTCTATTTCTCAAGCATGTGTGTTGGCATTCACATATAGCAATAGCACTTCAACTTATATATCACTTCACAATGCTTTACGGACTTCTCTATGCGATTTACAAATGTCAGCATATTGTCCCCAACAATCTGGGACCTCATTTTACCCACTTCAGAAGGATGAACGGCTGAGTCAACCTTAAGTTGCTCAGAATCGAATTCCTTGCAGTGGGCAGAATTAACCTGCAATACTGCATTCTAATTACTGTGATTCCTAACTTTGACAATAGTTTCCACTACAGATTAATTTTTCTTGTTACTATGTTTGAACTCCATATGGTAAAATACTATTAAAAACCTGCCATGTTATCAATTTAAAAAGCAAATACTGAGAAACAGATTAAGCCTGAATTGTGCTTGATTCTGAAGAACAATATATCAACAAAGTAACAGGCTAACATCGGCAATACTCCTAAAGCAATTTAGATCATATCTCAAGAAAGCTTCAGTTCATAGTCTAAAAGCAAGGAACATCCTTGACATTTTCTTCTCCTCTCCCCTTATATTGCTCAAGACCTTAAACTTTCATTGGTTAATTTAATAATTTCTGCAGCAATGAATGAATAGCAACACAAAAGCATGAAGGTAGTGCTTGAAATATTTTAAAATGCCTGCTCTTCATACAAGTACAATGCAATGTATGTGCTGAAAAGCCAACAAAATGAGTAGATCTTATATAGTGCATCACTATGTGATCACGTCCCTGTGCTTACAAATTCAACTCAAAAGAATTAAGCCTCTCAAGACTGTATGCATGGTAAGTTCTCCTTTGATGGCTTGTAGCTCTTCCTGGTTGTTTTTTCTAAGTTTTGGAGCTTCCCTGTTGCAAGTTTCCCTCCCTCCCTGAAGGGGATGCTATGCTCACCCATAATCCATTTCCTCCTTCCTTTACTCTCTTGCTTACAGGGCAATAAATAGCAAAAGGAAAGCTTTCTGGGAAAGGTTTGAGAAAGAGCTAAGCAGCAAGAATCTTCCTCATTTCTGTTTTCTTCCAAGGTTGGTTGGTTAGTTTCTTTTGGTTGGTTTCTTGGAACTCCTTACCCAAAACTTGTGGTAAAGAATAATTGAGATAGCACGTCTGCAAGGATTCCATTCTTTCTCAACCCAACCCATTGCAAAGAGCTGTTCTTGCAGGAAAAATAGGAAGAGGGGATACTACGTATGCTCCTGTACAAAAAAGGCAGGATATAAATTAAATATTAATTGTGAATCATAATAGCACTGCCATTTCAAATATATTCTCCAATCCCAATCTAAAGCCATGCCTGGTTATGAATACAATGTTAGGGAACTGGACAAGAGGAAAACAAAACTTTCCCCTTTTCCTAGATATTGTGAAATTGGTTGTAAATGTTTGAAACATAGTGTTTTTAGGCAGCAAACATATTTGGAAACATGCCCTACTGAAAGCAATGGGATATGACTTTGGCCATAGGATCACAGCCTTTGTTGATTAATGGGTTGCATTTAGTGACTTAAAGAAGCCAAGGCTTAAGCCAAATGACTCAAAGAAGCTAGGTACTAGGTGGCTTCTCTGTAGCATGGAATAAAAAAATTGGAAATTTGTGTGTGTGTGTGTGTGTGTGTGTGTGTATATATATATATATATATATATGGTATATATATGCACACACAGTGTATATATTTTTATATATGTACAATCCCATTCTTCACAAAAGAGAGAGGTATTTGTTGTTACCTTAATTTTCCTATTTTTATGTCTTGTTTTAGGAGTAAAACACAAACAGTATTATACACTGATAAGTACAGGCATGTGTTAATATAATATTGTTTGTGGTTACTCCTAAAACAACACATAAAGATAGGGAAATTAATGTTGTAAAGCAGGACCACTGTTAAGTTCCAATTAAGCTGATTTATGTTATGCCTATACACAAGAAATCTGATCAAATAAGCAGTCAGCACTAAATTGGTACTAGATAAGAGTTAATGGAATTCAAGATGGGCTGGCTCGTGGGAATGTAACAATTCTGGAATGGTTCCTCCCTTGACTCCACCCCCATGCTCCGCCTCCCCTTGTCTTACAACATATGATCTGAGTTTCAGCTACAATATGCCCCAAGCCTTGTTGCTTAACCTGGCAATTAAAAAAAATACATGGACTTCTACTCCAAGAATGGGAATTGAAGTCCACCTATCTTAAAGTTGCTAAAGGCTAAAAATGTTTGAAGGCTTTTTTTTATTATGCTGTTAAATTAAATTAAATGTTCCTCTCCAAATTTTAAAATATAGTAGGTAATTGACCCTGTAGAGCTGCTGCTTTGGTATACATAACCTGCAGGGGCCATTGAGATTTACCTTCTTTTGTTCCTGCAATTTTGCTAGGATGTACTGAGACTGAATAACTCAGTGTATATAAGTTCTGAGAGAGAATGTGAATGTGTATGTGTGTTTATATATCTACAGGAATACATGGGAGCATATTTTATATCATTTGAAGTAAATATGTGAAAGTAGTTTTTTCTTTGCCAGGGTTTTGAGATACTGCTACCAGACTGCATCATGGAATGAGCTGCTCATCTGTTTGTTCCCTATTTTAGGCAACTCATAAGTTTACACCACAGTTGTCTTATTTTAATTATGTGTTTGTTTTTTCTTTTGAGTCTATGTTGATTCCTGGCAAGTGCCTCGATAAGTCCCTGCAGTTTTCTTGGTAAGGCTTTTTAGAAGTGGTTTGTCCTTGCCTCCTCCCTAGAGCTGAGAGAGAGTGACTGGCCTAAGGCAGGACTAGAACTCATGATCTCCTGTCTTCTAGCCCAGGGGTCTCCATCCTTGGCAACTTTAAGACCTGTGGACTTCAACTCCCAGAATTCCTCAGCCAGCAAAGCTTGGAGACCCCTGTTCTAGTCTAATGCCTTAACTACTATACCACACTGGCTCTCATGCAATCATGGTATGGGCCTACATAAAAGTAAATTCTGAAGAGTTCCATGAGGAGATTGAAGGGGATATTGGAATGCATTTGCAGGCCCCTTCACATCTGACCTTCATTGAAGAAGCGTCCTAGAAAAGTGCAGCAGGCCATCCAGTGCTGCCATTTCCAGGCTATTTACGGTAGTTCAGCCAAAGTGATGACTTGTCCATTGTTCAGAACTGATACTTTCCAGGCGAGCTCAAAACAATTTACTTTGTGGACTAATGAGCCAGATGTTTCTTTATATCCATTCCATACAGAGAAGCAGACTGAACTAGAAGCTGAATTGTACTTCAATGCTGCTATAGTTCTTTGACCTGAGATGACTATCCAGTAATAGAATTGACCTTGCATGGTTTCTGCAGTTTTCCCCTACATCAAAAGTAATCTCTTTTTGACATGACAATGCTTTGTGTTATTTAGCATTACTTACATCCATCACCTTCTGTCTTTCTCCATGTCTTCACCCCAAAAGAATATGAAAGATGGCATCCATGTTTCGGAGTGAAGAGATGTGTCTGAGGCAACTTTTTCTTCAGGTGGAGTCTGCCTATTGCTGTGTTTCAGAACTTGGAGAGCTGGGTTTGGTCCAGTTCAGAGATGTGAGTAAACACCAAACGTAACCCAGCCTGTACTTCTCAGGAGCCATAGAAAGGAGGGGAATGTTGTCTACAGCAGAAAGAACGAGGATACTGTAGAGTTTAAAGATGCTAGACTAGACCCTAGGAAGATCCCTTTGAATCGGGAATGGGACAGCTTGCCACAGCCAACTTGCTGCAGCCAACTTGCCAGTCCAACTCGCTGCAGGACAATTTAGCAATTCTATTTAATTATTTAAAAAAAATAAAAAATATTTTTATTTTTGCCAATCACATTTCATTCTGTCCCTCCTTTTGCATCTTTTCTTTAATGATTCTATTCCCCTATTTCTTTGGTATTAGTGTAACTCTTGACCAGCAGTGAGTTGTCCTATGGCAAGATGGCCATGGAAAGTTGTCCTGCATGCATTGGCTATGACAAGGTGGCTGTAGTGACTTAACCATGGTGAGTTGGCTGTGGCAAATTGTCATAGACCCCTTTGAATCTGCCCTTAATTAGTCATTGTTTCTCAGTGCAGTTTGGTTCCACAAAATATGTTGAGACCCTCTGGTAAATTGCCTTTGAGCACAGAAAAGGGCTTGGTACAAATTTAATACATAAGAATGACAAGAACTGCAACAGGGAAAAAGAGAGGAAGAGAAAGTAGCATTAGAAAAGAAACAGGAATATTCCAGAGGGAATTATTAACCTCACCCACTTTGAGGTCTACTTGTTTGGTCTACTGTTGGCATGAAACACCCAACAATTTATTTGTAAGGGAATGTGGTTCTTGATAAAATGAAATGGTGACCTTTGCTCGCATAATATGCTCTACTCTTGGGAGATGAAAATGCATTATCTTGAATATTTTATAACCATGCATAGCAGAATGCTGAGACAAAACATGAGTAATGACAAGCAAGTTGAAGATCTGGGAAATTCCTTTATTGCTGATTTTTCTTAAAGTGGGGGTGATTTTCAAACGTTTGGAGGAAAAAACAACATTTCTTAAAATACAACTTTGAAGTCACTAAGAATAAGAAGAATTGGAATGGTATAATCTTTAAAACCAAATTTTTAAAAAATTACAAAAAGATGTGTTTTTCAGAATTCTTTTCTGCATGAATGCACTACACAAACAATAAACAAACCAGTGCAAAATAAGGATAGGGAAGAAAGTGTTTGTGTTATAGAACATGATATGTGGTTTAGAATAATGGAAAGTTATTGATTTAGGACAGGGCTGTCAAACTCCCCACCTGTGAGCCGTGCTGGATGCGTCACATGCTGGCCACACCCATGCCAATTTAGTGAAGGGAGAAAAAAGTCCTGATACATCATGTGATGCCACTGTGATGACGTGAGTTTGACACCCCTGGTTTAGGATGCTTTCTGTGGACTGTTCATTAAGTTTGCACTTAGTGCTGTTGTGTTTCTTTATAGCCAAGCATAATGGATACAGAATAATCACTATTCTAGCCTCAGTCAACTTTGTTTTCCGCACGACTCACTTGAAAGAAGGAAAATAATGTAAAATAGTAATTTAAATAGATACCATGAGGTCAGGCCCAGTTTCAGCGACTCTACCATCTTGGCCTGAGCCCAATGATAATCACTGGCTGGATCTTGCAAGGATATTTCCCTGATACCTTCCGACTATCTGCTTTATTCTTTGTCTCTCCATTTTTCTACTTCTCTCAATCTTGCCAAGCATAGTCTCTTCTAATTGATTGTTTGCTCTAAGTGAGTTTCTGCTTACCAATCTTTGCCTCAAGGGACCAGTTGTCCAGGACCAATTGATTCATTCTTCTTGCTGTTCATGGTACTTTTAATAACCATTTCCTTCTCTCTCTTATTCTTTCTCAATAGCCAACATTCACAGTTTAGCACAGGAAAACAATTCCTTTTATTATTCTGATCCATTTATCTGAGAAATATGCTTATTCTGCATTATCTTTTCTAAAATGGTTATTACCTTTCTCCCTGGGATAAATCTCTTTATTTCTTTATCAATCTTGATTCCAGAATAATAAAGTTATTCATCATCTTAATTACTTTGCTCTCAGTTGTGCTTTCATTAGGGATATTAGCTGATGTCTTTTTCTTCTAAATACAACATCATTTTTTCACCTCCTCCTTTTAAACTGAGTTTTGCCAGTGGAGCCAGTTCATTCTTGCCATTCTTGAAGTACATTTGCTAATCTGTTAAAAAGAACTAAAGATCATATACTTTTTTTAACTCAACTCTTTTCTGAATCACTCTGTTTCTCCAGTTCTTAGTAACTTGTTTATTGTAAATATTTCTCGGAAGAATCAGATGTTCTGCATACCCATTCACTTTACAGCATTTAATTAGGAAACTCAGCATTACTAAATTATATTTTGTTTAGCAACAGGCCTGTTAAGTTCCATCATTTAAATTGTTTTCATAAAATTCTAAGAATTACCTATGTAGAAAGCCAAACATCACATTTTTCACTCTATTTATAAATAATGGATTTAAGGGAACCTTTGGGGTCTACAATCTGGGCAAATATATTACATGAGAAAAAGATATAAATGACCCTCAAAATTATGAATGTGAAACTATCTGTATTTCTGTAATCAGTTATTATTCACTAGCTCCATAGGCTTTTTCTCTGGTTGCACAATATTTTAATTATCATATTCTCCATGGTGATACATTACTTTGAAGAAATACTTTTAAATTGATCTGCTAATGGGCATGAGGAGTTGAATCCTTTGATATGTACTTCCACTAAATCGTCATGACTTCATATTTATTTACTTTCATATGATCTGATGTGTTAGAATCATAAATCCTAGAATTCTTAGCCATCAGGTTGGATGAACGGATGGATAGATGATGTATATGTATATGTACGTATATGTATACGTATACGTATACGTGGATGGATGGATAGATGGATGGATGGATGGATAGATAGATAGATAGATAGATAGATAGATAGATAGATAGATAGATAGATAGATAGATAGATAGATGATGGATGCAGTGATGGGATTCAAATTTTTTTACTACCGATTCTGTGGGCATAGTTTGGTAGGCGTGGCATGGCTTGGTGGGTGTGACTTGGTGGGTGTGGCAGGGGAAGGATACTGTAAAATCTCCATTCCCTCCCCACCCCACTAACCTGCTTTCCAGCTCTTTTCTCCTGTGCAGGGCAACAAAAGAAGAGCCAGCTGATCAACTGGGACTCGGGAGGCAGAGAATAGATGAGGGCAGGGCCAGTCAGAGGTGGTATTTGCTGCCTCAAAATTTCCACTACCGGTTCTCCAGAACTGGTCAGAACCTGCTGAATACCACCTCTGGATGGATGGATAATTGATAGATGATAGATGACAAGACAGACAAAGAGACAGAGAGATAATTTGGCTAATCTTGTGCTTTTATATGAATTTTCTTTAGTTGAATACAAATGTGAACAACTTTCAAAGAAGATTTGTGAATGAAGTAAGAAGATGTGAATCCTTAGAAAGGGTCCTTCGTAAGTAGCTTTTAGTTTATTGAAAAATTACATTTATTGAGAGCTGTTCTTAGTCCAACAATCTCTAGAATGTTTTAGTGCACAAAAACAGCAATTATTAGCACTTTTTGATTTAGCATTCTGGGAACCAGTGTCCCCAGAAATTGAGCAAAAAGTGGAAATAAGATACAGTATTAACTGGAAGGGGGGACACTGGTTGCTGCAGATCATTGTAGACCAGGGGTCCCTAACCCCCATCCAGGCCCTGCAAGTAAGTGGAACCATACAATGAGTAAAACCATGCCACCCCTCCGATCCATGGAAAAACTATCCTCCACAGAACCGGTCCCTGGTCCCCAAAAGTTTGAGGGCAGCAGCTGTACATCATGCCCAAGTGAGTTGAAAATCCCAAAGGCAGATTTCAAATTCCTAAAAATATATTGCAGTAAAACCTTTTGCTGGAGATCTTGTGGAATCAGTACCAACACTAAGGCTTAGTTGCATTAAGCAATAAGCTTTGCTTAGAAAAGGTTGTCTAACTTGCCTCCTATGAGTTAACGTTCAAGGGTGTCCCAAAGGTGCTTTTTCATTCAAGGATGTACTATAATTACATAATCCACATGGGACAATTATCTACGTATATGTAAGGAGGAAAGTTTTAAAATGTGACTAGCTTCCTTAGAAACCCTCTTTGTTAACCATTCACTACCATTCTCTCCAGGTCTTTTTTAATTTTGAAAAAGTTTTGTAATTTTCTGTAGATCCTTGGCAAACTAAGCAATAAAACAAATACGTTCAACTTTCCATACGTTTAACCTACTTGTTTTTTATGAGTGATGTCTTCTTCCTTGTAAAAATGAAACGCAGGGCTGAAAATATTTCCTTGTGTATCTTCCAGTGATGCCATTATACAATTGCCAATTAAGAAAACCAGAGATTTGAAAAGATCAGGGGGAGGGACAGGCAACTGAATCTCAGGCAGGCAGGAAAACCCGGGCCCACATTCTGGAGGCAGGCAGGGAAGGGGCTCATGAGCCCAGCTGAGCCTTGACCAGGCAGTGACGAGGGTCTTGGGATCTGGGAAGGGCGCTTGCCTGAAGAGGTTGGTGGATGGATCCCTAGTGAGCCATTGGTCCCTCATTTTCTGCCGAGAGCTGCTTGGGCCTGGTCGCCATGGGGCACGAGAAGGAAGTGTTGCCTGGTGCGAGCTCTGCCCTCCTCTGGTACGGGCAAGAGGAGGGGGTTTCCCTTTTTCTCTTAACATTGTACAGCTGCTTGGTTTTTCTCAGAATGCTTCTAGATGCTGCTTAGCTGTTGTGGGTGCATGTGATTTAAAAAATGCTGTTTTAACACCCCCCTTGAATATGCCACCGTTGCAGGAAGTGTAGCCTTTAATAAAGGACTGTTAGCGGCAAAAGGGGAAAAAAGTGTTGCCCTTAACTACACAAAGCCTGGTTGCCTCAGTGATTAATGCACAGGATATCTCTTAATGTGGCACAGCTTGTGATTCTATTTATTAAAGAGGTGAAAAGTTAGGCCGCATCCATGTTCGCACAAAATCCTTAATCACCAATTTACAACTAACCAAGTTTCTTATGGTGAGGAAAAGACAGCAGAGCATGTTTTGTAAACTTAGCCAGTGTGTTTCCATTTGTTTTCCTCCCAGGTTTTCTGGAAAGCGAGATGGGGGAGGAGATCCTGCCTGTCATATATGGGAAATATCCAGATACTCCACCACCACGAGAAATGATTGACTTAGAGGTAGGCTTTGCCTGTTTCTCGTTAGAGAAGGATGATAGACAGTTGTGTTGACTCAGCAGGAGACGGCAATCCAAAATAACTTTAAGTCAAGATCTTTACAACACTCAGAATAATTTGTTTGATATAGAAAATTTATAAATGCAACAGCTTGTTCAATTTTGTAGTTCCTAATTGTAGCTCTGACTTTATCATGTTTTATTCTTCTTAGGTCTACTACTCTTTCTTTTTTTAAAAAAATCATTTTACTTTTCTACTGTGAAATAACAGTAGAAAAGTAAAATGATTTGAATGGTATGCTGTATGTCAGGGGTGTCAAACTTCAAGGCCCACAGACCTCATCCAGTCCATGATGTGGTCATATCCAGCCCGCGAGGCCATCCTGGAAAATGTAAGGGGCTGTCCTGCATTGCTATGGCCCAATCTACCCAATGCGAAGAGGAAGGTGTGATGACCTGGGGCATGGCACAAAGGCAACATAATCAGATAATCAATAAGAGTCCCTTAAATAGCTCCAACTTTGCCCCCAGTGTCCAGGTTACCTTCTGGCTAGAGAAAAACTCTCCCAGGAACAGCCTTTAACTGCAGAAAATCAAGTCCAAAACATGGTCAACAAAAACTATAATTTTAAGTCCAATCAAGCCAAACTGAGGTAATTAGTTTGGCAAGGCAGGAACAAGAATTCCAGATGTGAAGGCACAGCAAAACTCACATGGTTGGGAAGACGCCAGGAATATAGATAAGCAACAACAACACAGGATAAAGTCACATTTGCTCCCAACAGCTGCCGCAGTCAGCATTTAGTTCTTACAAATTTTCATCCCAGGTGTGGCTAATGAAGGGAATCAGGTCCCTTTCCTTCCCCGTAAGCCACACAACCCACATTGCTCTCTTCTATGTTCCTCCCTGCATGCCCTAGGATAAAGAGGGGGTTGGCCTGGGTCTTCCTCTGAGCTCCCTCTCCCTTGTTTTATCTCTTCCCTACTCTGCCCAGCCAGACACTGCCCTTCCCCAACCTCCTGCACAGCCAACGGGGCCAGACTCCCATTCCCTGTCAGCTGTTCATCTTCCTCCTCAGATTCAGACTCTGACAGGGGCATGACAGAAAGATCGGGCTGGTATTGCTTCAGCCCAGTGTACCCAATGCAAAGAGGAAACATGCCAGCAGTTTGGGGAGTGGCATGAAGCTGGCCATGCCCACCCAGTTGGCCACAGCCACCCAGTCAGCCACACCCACCTGGCCCTCCAAGGTCAACCACAGCCCTGATGCAGCCCTCAATGAATTTGAGTTTGACACCCCTGCTCTATGCTATGGTTACAAAAATAAAGTTATTTACTTATGGTTCTCATCTTCTCCAGCCAGTATAGCCATGCTGTCTGGAAATTATGATTCCAACAATCTAATAGATTGTGAAGGCACAGATTGGGGATTGCTCTAACTAATACCTAAACCTGGGAGGGTAGGAATTGGGCAATGTTCTTGCAGAAGCAAGAAACAGATTCCCCGCAAAGAAAAACCCCTCACATTGGGAATTAACTGCATTCACCAACAGAAGGTCCAGGCATGAAGTCCCGTAAGAAGTTAACTGAAACAATAATCCCTATCAGCTTGTTGTGATAAACACAAGGCTGTGAGCTCCCAGCCGGGAGGCTGCAACTTAAGTTAGTTCAAACAGAGAAATAGACAAACCTCAGTTCTAGCAGGGCAGTTTTTGTCGCACGAAACACACAAGGAGCAAACTTTCCAGAAATGTGAACGGTTGTCTGCGATAACCAATCCACCCACTTTCCTCCTATTTATTCCCCAGCCAGGGAGGGGCCATTCAGCGTCCATGTTTGTTTTGCTTCCCGAGCCAGCTCATTCTCCTCCGTTGTTCACCCTTCCTATCTGCATATGCACATCTGGAACAGGCCCCAGCTGTTCTTCCTCCTCACTTATCTCTGACTCCAAAGGCAGCTGCCTCTCTTGCTGGGAAATGTTGGACGGTCCTGGGTCTATATCTGTTTCCAACACTGAGCATCCATCAGAGCCTTCCCCAAGCTCCAGAAGTTCTTCCCCAACATCCTCATTTTCTGAGTCTGTAGCTAACTCTGCTGGCAGCTGGCAGGCCACAACAGGCAATCCAGTACTTTCTCAGTCTTGGCTAACTTAAAAGCTAAGCAGGGTTGCACTTTGTTGGTGTTAGATAGGAGACCTCAGGAATACCAGGGTTATAGGCCATCCAGAGAAGGTATATTACTTCTGAAAAAAAAACCAGTGTCAATGAAGTAACAACAAATCATCGTTGATTCAAAGGAATATTTTCTTTTTTTTCCTGTTAGTCTAAACAGACTATGATCAGAAGGGTTAATGGTTAAAGCTGAATGAAGAACAAAAAGTAGAATGACTTGGAAGCTTAGTGCTTAACCAGCAGAGCTGTAAAAACATGTTATAATCCCTCATTCTTTTACCTAACACAGACAAGAAGATTTGCTGTATTTTCCGTTAGTTATTTTTCTATCTGCACTTAATTTATGTCATTTGTGAATCATTCATACTGAGAAGTAGGGCTGAGATGTTCATACTCACTGCAAAATTGCCTAACATGCTGAGATGCATTTCGAAACGTTTGCTGTCTAATAATCCATCTTTAGAGTAATCTATTTTGTCAGCAGTGAAGTGTGTGACAGAATGATTGGACATACAGTACTTCTATTTCTCTCCGGCTATAAACAGGCAGTCTTGGAGAAACTGGAAGGTGAGTTGGAAGAAGCCAACCAGAATCTGCAGGCATTGAGGCAGAACTTTCTAGAACTTACTGAACTCAAACATCTCCTGAAGAAAACCCAAGACTTCTTTGAGGTGACACAATTTTTCAATGCATTCAGCTCAATTGTCTGAGGGACAAACTGTGGGCAATACCATATTTACATACAATCTTGAACATCTTGACTCTGTTGTCCCTTCTGTCATTCAAATTCTCTGATTTCAGCCCTTTGAGGTAGTCCAGACCAGAAGTACTAGCTCCGCTTTATTGTAAAGTTACTATCAACTGTCCAACTAGTGAATCCAGAATCAGAAAACACTCTTGGGAGCTTTGAATTCCCAAAAGTAAAACTTTATTAGATACACCATTTTGGTATTGAAGAAACAAAACCAGCTCTAGTTTTCCAGTTATGAAACCTCCTTTTGTTATGGGAATAATCCATCTCTTTCTCAAGCACCTGCAGTGGTGACCTTGATGGCTGCCAGGCTTTCACAGTTGACGCACACATTCTCAGCATTCTATTTCCACTTTCCCTCCCGCTAGTTCACTGGCAAGTTGAAAAGTGTTAAGTTTGAAAGAAGCACAGCAGTTCAATCTTGACAGAATTAACAAAATTTTGCAAGTCTGAAAGTACATCTCTCCCTTCTTACCTTTGCAGTCCAAGAAAGGGGGCGTGCATAAGCGCACCAACGTGCCTACCGTCCCTGTCCTATTGTTTCTCTTATTCTTTTATTTTTCTTATATGTACCCATTTCATGCATTCACAACTATGTATACACTTATACTTATTATCTTGTAAACAATTGGCAAATCAAATAAATAAATAAATAAAATAAATAAAGTAGGAAGGGTCCCTACTGAACCATTTGCCATTCTATGTTCCTTCTATGCGCTAAGCTTCGTTATTTGACCGTTGCCCTGACAGCAATTCATCCCTTGTCTCCCAAGGTCATTCCCATATACTATTACATCAGCCCCAGCAATGACTCTGGGAATTCTTACTGATCTCCCACCCAAGGATTGCTATGTGTTGCTGTGCCAATCCTCCCTGGGAGGCCAAGTTAGGAAACCAATTCTTCAGGAATATTAGAGCTTACTTTTGGAAATAGGCTATAGTACCAGAACCTGGTAAAAATAGGCTGTACCTCCTTTTCTTGAGCCTGCCCAAGTCTCTTTCTAATACTATCTTGCTTCCCACAATATAAGGCATATTTCCATCTTCTTTGGTGATGTCATTGTTCTTGCCTATTTTGTTTTTATCTCCCATTGGGTTATGCCCCCATATGTCCTTCCTTCCCCAATACAGCGGCATTCAGAAGCTCTGGATGTAAGCTTCTATTCATCCGCTGGTTAATATTGCTGTGGTATCTGGATAACAACATCTAAGATAGAGAAAATTGTCCTAAAGCCGCAAAAAGTAATAAAGAGGTCTTGGACTGGCTGAGTTTTGGAATGGGACTTTTAAGTTAAGCTTTTGTCCTGCTTTCAGACTGAGACTAATTTGCCTGATGATTTCTTCAATGAAGATACTTCAGGGCTATTGGAACTAAGAAGCACTCCTGCAGCAGTTGCTGCAAAACTGGGGTGAGTATTGTTTCTCTTGTGTTGTATCCACCATGTTTATGTCTTAGTGACGTAGCCCATAGTTCAAACATCTCACTGAAGTGAACACACGTCCTCCTGGCTGGGTGTAGCTAATGGAGAAGAAAATTCTCGGTTTAGCAAATTTATTTTTTTATTTGTCAACTTAATATTTTCCCTTTCTCCCAGAACTGGGCTGCAGAGGCATCTGTGAGGCAGCAAATGATGCAATGAGCATCATATCGTTGTAATATAAGCTCCAGCCCCTAGGCATGTCTGTTGCAGTGTTGCATACATGTATGAAAGCTTATGTCATGTTGCTGATTTCATTATTTTGCTGAAAGCCTTCAGTCCTATTGAACCCTCTATAGAAATCTCTGCATGGTACCCAAGCCTTTCGAACCATGCCACTAAATTCCAAGGTGCTACCATTTTGAGACAAAAAAATGAGAAATGCATGTAGAATTACTCTTACATAGGCTTAGTTTTAAAAATTATGAGGGAACACCACAACCTCTTCCCCATAAAATCTTTATTAATATCTAAAACCTGACCCACTTACACAGGTGACACTAAAGCTAACTCTGTCCTACTATTGCAGGGGTGTCAACCTCAATTTCATTGAGGGCTGTAGCAGGCTGTGGTTGACCTGGAGGAGCTGGGGGCATGGCTGACTGGGTGGGTGTGACCAACTGGGTGGGCGTGGCCAGCTTGACGCCACTCCCCAAACTGCTGGCTTGTTTCCTCTTCGCACTGGGTAGACCAGGCCGAAGCCATGCTGGCCCAATCTTTCATCTTCATATTGGGTAGTCCAGGACAGCCCCGCATGCCAGATCCAACCACATCATGGGCCGCATCCGGGCCGCAGGACTTGAGTTTGACACCCCTGTACTACTGCATCTCTGTCCTACTAATGTGAACATCGCTCAATTGTAAAGTTCCTCAGAGCATGCCATCCTTTTGCTCCCAAAATTTGCCCGTTCTGTTTTAGGATATTTCATGCTATCTAAGAAGGCTGGGAGTTATCAGTCAGTCATTTTATTTATATAAATAAAATAATCCCTTCACATTCAGAAGGTGCTATGGTGGAGCAGGCCAGTCTAGGAACTGATAGTAGGATTCCAATTGGTATAATTCAATAAATTAATTACTTCTAGAAGAGCATATTATACAGGGTATTACGTTTGTTTTGCATTTCATAGATTCATAGCTGGTGTGATTAAAAGAGAGAGGCTGGTGACTTTTGAACGTTTGCTGTGGAGAGCCTGCAGGGGAAACATCTACCTGAAGTTCAGTGAAATGGATACATCCTTGGAAGATCCTGTCACTGTAGGTACCGATGGGTTTTTAATTTTGTTTAATTTTGATCTTTTACCTATATAAAGCTAGGAAATTACTAAGATTGTATTTATTTATTTATTTACTTATTTTGATTTGTCAATCGCTTACAAGATAATAGGTATAAGTATATACATAGTTATGAATACATGAAATGGGTACATATAAGAAAAATAAAAGAAATAATAGGACAGGGACGGTAGGCCCGCTGGTGCGCTTATGCACAATTGTATTTGGTTGCCTCTGTGACTCTTTTGAAATTGTTTCTCCTTAAATCATATTTCCTTTCCCAGAAAGAAGAGATGAAAAAGAACGTATTCATCATCTTCTATCAAGGGGAGCAGCTGAGACAGAAAATCAAGAAGATTTGTGAAGGGTGAGAAAGAGCATTTTGACTGTAACTGAAATTAATGACTCTTGAGTTAGTCAATTAAAGAAACCTGAGTTGGCTTTCAGATTGATCTCCGTAGGATTTTAATGCCCGCTGTTTTGCCTTGTCTTAGACAAGACCCATCCTGGAAAATTCAAAGTGTAATTAAGTCCAGGGTTGGAACATGCTGATATAATCCAGGTTGGTGGTGTGAATTTTAAACCTTTATTCAGAACTATCCGATAGAAAATTATCACTATCACAATTGCTTCTGGTTCTTTAGCTGAAATTGATTTTGAACATGTCATCCCAAAGGTGCTTTTTCAAGAGGCAACTGGACTTTCTTTGGGTTTTTTTTGAAGATGTTTCACTTCTCATCCAAGAAGCTTCCTCAGTTCTGACTGAGAATTTAGATAAGAAGTGTCAGAACTGAAGAAGCTCCTTGGATGAGAAGCAAAACATCTTCAAGGAAAAACAAAGACAGTCCAGTTGCCTCTTGAAAAAGCACATTTGGGTCAGCCATGACCTGGATGATTGAGAATCTCCATAAAAATATTGAACATGCGCCACTGATTACAAATGTTTGGGGGTGAGGACAGCTCCTTAAAGAGCCAAAATGATATCATCCATGTCCACATTAAAGATAGAGGTCCTCCAAGATTTACAGTAGCTTAGAAAACTTGAAGCATCACATTTCTAAACCCAAACCAATTATTAATGGGCTTAGTGGGATATTTTAAAAAATGTCTTTTTTGGCAAGGGGTGGGAAAAAATTGCAAAAATTCTGTTAAAGCATGAACAAGAAAACCCCATCTGCTATTCAATATTCTTTGTCCTATAGGAATTCAAGGTCTGAGATTACTGCTAATGTTTCTGTCTCTTGTTTTTACTGCATGTTGCTCTTAATTTTAACACTAGAAAAAAATTAATTAGTGTTAAATTTTGCCTACCAGATTTATTAAAATTGGGAGCAGAGCAAAAAATAAGCATTTCCCCAAGCCTTCTCTCTTTCAATTGAGGATGCTGGAACACTAATAGGAGTTCTCCAGCAGATTTTATCAATTTCAAAACCCTCCAGTGAATGGTTCATGTGCTTTCCTAGATGAAGGTGTCATTAAAGTGAAAGTGACATTCTGACAGGCAAAACCAGCATGCAAAAAGAACTGTGAAAAGATCAAAGTTATCGGGCTGAAACCTTGACTGTGTCAGGGAGAAGGGAGGGAATGTAGCTTGTGTGGGCTCTTTTAAAGAGGAATGTTTTTTTCAAGTACAATTTGAGAACTTAAAAGGTCAGTTTAAAATATGGGGTGAGCATCAGAAAGCTTTTCCTAATGAAAAATTAATTAATATGCTTCAGCTGATGCTTTGGTTTGACTAGATTATTGGTGAATCCATGTCATGCTTGAAGCTAGAAGAATATAAGCATGTATAGCGGCATCAAGGTAGGGTGGAAGACAAAATAGTGGGATGGTAACTCCACCACTGTTGTATGCAGATGTACAAAAGGAGAAACGTTTGCATGAGTCGTGGTGGCGCAGTGGTTAGAATGCAGTATTGCAGGCTAATTCTGCTGGCTGCCAAGAGTGGTATATAAGTCTAAGTGCTATTGCTGTTGTAATATTTGCCTACCATCCTGTAAGTCTGATGGTGCCACTGGGTACCATATTTCCCTGAAAATATGACCTACCTCAAAAGTAAGTCCTAGCTTGATTTTCACATGTGTATCCAATATAAGCCCTACCCCCCAAAATAAGCCCTAATTAAGACCCTGCCCACTCCAGGATGCATGGGTAGAAATTAAGCTAGGGTGGGGATGATGGGGTGGAGCTGCCCTACTACTTTTGGACAGTTGCAGCCAGACCTCGCGCACCCTGATACCTGCCTTGCCGGCTCATTTCTTCTGCAGCTGGCAAGGCTTTCCTGAAGGCCTCTGCAGCCGATAACAGAACTCTGGATTGATCAAGAGCTTTGTTATCAGCTGCAGAGACCTTCAGGAAAGTCTTGTCAGCTGCAGAAGAAGTTCCTGAAGTCCTCCGACAATGAAAAGAATGCCAGGGGTGACACACATAAGTGGACGACATCACCCCCTGAAAATAAGACCTGGTTCCTTTTTTTGGTGGCAAAAAAAAATACAAGACAGGGTCTTATTTTTGGGGAAACAAAGTAGCACTTCCTTCTTGCAATGAAGCATTTTCCCCCAAAGTTTCAGCTTTCCTAATAATGGAAAGTCCAGTCATTCCATACAGCATTGGAACAAATCAATTTGGCTATTAAAATAATCTACTCTAGAAATTATGTAAAACGATATCTTAAATTCCAGTGGTCTGTGCAGCCACTGGTGACATTATGACATTCCTGCCTTGCTCTCTCTCTCTCTCTCTGGCCTGCAGTTCTTGAAAAATAATAATGTCAATTAAAATATTCAGACCTTCTCTTTTGATAATACTATGGGAAAAGATTGACAGGCAGATGGAACTGAAAGCGTAAATATTACCCCTTACCCCAGAACTTGACTTCACCAAGAGCAAAAAGGAAGCACGGGTAGCTTCACCTGCCTGCTTGTGAGTAAAATACGCTCAGAACACGTACATTCCAAAAGTTTATACCATAGAAATATGAGTATATTTGTTCATTACAGATGAGAGACTAATAGGGTGGACAGCTTGCAGGATCAATAACAATCAAAAGTCTAGCAAAAGCAAGAGCATTTTATTGATTCTAATAACACTCCCAATAGAATATCCCTCATAGCCTGGGAGCAACTTAAGCCCTTAAGAGAAAGCCTTCTTTGTCAGGTAGATGAGTCTTTGAGAAAGATGAGTCCAAAACATTTCTCCTAAAGAACTTAATGGCCTGATAAGCTCTTAATAGCCCTTAAGTCATCTAGCTAGTCAAGTCTTAAGCCATTCAAGACTTATTTTAAATAGCAATTTTATCCTAAATTGTCCATTAAGCAGTTGGAAACCAGTGTAGAACTGTCATTGGGAAAGCCTATGGGGTCCTTGTACTGGTTAGCAATCGAGCTGCTGCCTTTTTTTTTAACAATGACAACTTCCACACCTTTGTTGTAAAGTGCATTTCAGTGGACACAATGGCTGGAACCAGGTATTGTTTCTTCATTAGGTTCCGTGCTACTGTATATCCCTGTCCTGAATCAGCTGCAGAACGCCGAGAAATGGCTGCTGGCGTAAACACGAGGATTGAAGATCTCAACACAGTAGGTAGTTTTTAGCCTTGCTTGGAGTAATATGGAGCATGCCTTAGGTCAGCATGTGCCAAACCCTAGCAGTGATTGGAGCCCTGGCCGAAGTAGACAGTATGTAGTTCAGATGTGTGTCCTAGCCTCCTTCCTACGGTGCCAGTCAGCAAGCACTTGGGTCTAGAGACCACTCACTGTGTTTCTTATAATGCTTCAGAGCCACATCACTTAGGGCATTATGGGAGATTTAAATGGCAGCTGCCAATACAAATAAAACACTACTGTGGTTGCCATCAGGACTAATAGCAGTTAGGTGGGCATAGTGGGGCAGCTGCTGATATGGGATGGGAGTGAAATGTAAGAGGCTGGAAAATGAGTCAAATGGTCCCAATAATGGGGTAGAGCAAATATAAATTATGAGTCTAAGCAGTGGTGCTATTCATCTGGTGTAATAACCGGTTCGTTGAGTGCGCGCTTTGCATGTGCACATGGTCTATGTTTAAAAAGTCAATTTTCAACTGAATTACTCACCTTCTGCAGCTCCAGTGATCTAAACAGCTGAGGCACAGCAAACCACTCTGCTGCGTGAATCAGCTGTGCTAAAAAAAACAGGAAATAAAGCACAGAAAAGAGCAGGGGCAGGTGGGCGGGGCCAAATACTCACTGGAACTACCAGTTCGCCTGAACCAGTCCAAACCAGTAGAATCTCCCTGCCCCCGAATCTAAGTCAGTTCTTTCATCCTACACATGTGTTGGTCTGTAACTCCCAGAATTCTTCAACCAGGAAGGGCATGCTACAGGCTAGCTAAGGAATTTTAGTAGTTGTAGCCCATACATTTATTTATTTATTTAATTTATATTGCTGCCTGTTCACCCATGGCGACTCGATGCGGCTTACACAATGTAAAACCATATTTAAAACAAAAATAAAAAAACAAAAAAACAAAAACTAACAAAAATAATCAAATAAATTAGTAAAGTACAATAGAACAATAGAATTTGTTGGGTTACTAATCTAAACCTTTGCCCCTACTTACAGGTGATCACCCAAACTGAGTCCCATCGACAGGGGCTATTGAAGGAAGCATCTGCAAACCTGTGGGCCTGGGGGATCAAAGTGAAGAAAATGAAAGCCATCTATCACATCCTGAATTCTTGCAACATTGATGTCACTCAGCAGTGTGTCATTGCAGAGATCTGGTTCCCTATGGTTGATACCCCCAGGATAAAAAGAGCACTAAATCAAGGAATGGTAAGGAGAATTCTGTCATTCTTAGCAAGTGATATTAACTCAACTGAGTGCCCTGAATCTGTGGCAGAGTACTTACTTTGCCTGCAGGAAAAAGGACTGAGTGAAACTTTGCAGACATTTCATTACCCAACTAAAGAACATTAAAAATACTGGATTATTACTAGGAAAACAATCAAGCAGAAAACAATACTCTTGACAAGGAACTGTCAAGGAGAAAACCACATCTTGCCAAAGCTGGCAAGGCAAGCTCCTATATGTAAACAGGGAGCAAACCCCATACTCTTCAACACTGAAGATGTTTCCCTTGTTGGATAAAGAAAGCAAACAACCAAGCTCAGGGAGCACCAAGGAATCCACACTTCAACCACAAATAATATATTCTCTACTATTAGAAGAAGGACTGGTGGGTGTTGAATACTGCAGAGAGTAAGGAAAATGAGCTTAATGGAGATATGTAAGCTCTGTTAAGCAAAGCAACAAAAATGTCTTAAGTCCACAACAGACAGATGATAATATTTTGAACAGCACTAAATACCTCCTAATTCACAATTATGGTCATGATTTATCACTTATATCTTTTATGTACAATGAGAGCTTAAGCACCAAAGACAAATTCCTTGTATGTCCAATCACATTTGGCCAATACAGAATTCTATTCTATTCTATTCTATTCTATTCTATTCTATTCTATTCTAT